TGGGGAGAAACCACACTTCTCCCCAACTCCGACCCAAATCCGCCATTTCTCCGGGCGGGCAAAGACACCGGGGACGGTTTTGGTGACACCGGGGATGGTTTTGGTGACACCCGCGGTGAGGAGGGCGTCTTTTTTTTTTTCTTACCCGATCGCCCGCAGTCCGAGCACGAGACCAACTCCTCCGGTTGTCCCGTTTTCTTGTTAATTTTGGAGTCTCCCAGGCAGAAATCGCAGTAGTTGTTGGGCAAAGCCAAACCGTCCGGTCCTTTCTTGGCTGGAAAAGCCGAGCGGGAAAGACGGATTAAGCCACAGGGAAAAACTTTTCTGGATGGGATCGGGGAAAAAAGAAAACCAAACACTTCTACGGCACAAATCCCAACGCTCGGAGATTTTTCCGGCAATGTCCGAGCCCCGGGGCGATGCTTAAAAGCATCGGGGAAGGGACGCCGCTCGCTCCCAGCCCCGGCACGGGTGATTTTTCTGGTTTTGTTGCCTTTTTTCAACAAAATTTTGGTGGAGGAGGAGGGTTTTTGGCTTACATTTCTGCTCCTCCGATCGCTGCGAGACGGGAGTGGGGGGCTGCGAATCCTCCTTGTCGTCGCCTTCTTCCTCGGCCAGGTGGGAGTGAGCGTAGTGGTAGCTCAATCCCGGCCGATTCTTGTATCGTTTCCCACAGACTACGGATTAAAAAAAAATAAATGGGAAAAGTCTGAGCTTATCCCGGCAAAGAGCGAGACCCCGCACCCCCTCCGCCCTCTAAAAATCACCGGGAATTTATTAAAACGACCTAGAAACCCCCCGAAACGAAGAGGGTTGGGGATGGATCCTCCGGAGCAGCCGATTTGGTGGGCGATCGATAACCCACCGCGTCCCGGTAACGACGGCGGCTCGTTAAGCGGAGCTTTACAGCCCTGGGTAAAGGAGCGAAACCAAGCGGGGAGCGATGCAAGCGGCAAAATCCGGTCGGAAAAATATGAGGAGGGGGGAATTTCCCACCCAAC